AGCCTGCTTAAATTTTTAGACTGGGGCTTGGTGCCCATATCTCACTGGTTAGGGCCCCGGCCACATACACTGAGGCAGGCAGGTTCAAACCCAGCCCGAGCCTGCTAAATAGCAGTGATAACTACAACAAAAAAATAACTGGGCATAGGGTGGCCTCTGTGGCTCAGTGGGTAGGGCGCCAGCCCCATATACCAAGGATGGCAGGTTCAAACCTGCCCCCATCCAAACTGCAACAAAAAATAGCCAGGCATTGTGGCAGGCACCTGTAGTCCCAGCTATTTGGGAGGCTGAGGCAAAAGAATCGCCTAAGCCCAGGAGTTGGAGGTTGCTGTCAACTGTGACATGGTACTCTACCGAGGGCATTGTCTGTAAAAAAAAAAAAAAAAAATTTTTTTTGCCGGGCATGTCTCAGCGCCCATAGCATAGTGGTTGTGATGCCAGCCACATGCACCAAGGCTGGCCGGTTCAAGCCCAGCCCGGGCCAGCTAAACAACAGTGACAACTGCAACAACAACAACAAAAAGCTGAGCATTGTGGCGGGCTCCTGCAGTCCCATCTACTTGGGAGTCTGGGGCAAGAGAATTACTTTGAGCCCAAGAGTTTCAGGTTGCTGTAAGCTGTAACGTCACAGGATTCTACCAAGGGCAACATAATGAAACTCTTCTCAAAAAAAAATTTAGGCTGGGCACAGTGGCTCACTCCTGTGATCCTAACAGAGGCCGAGGCAGAATGGCTTCACCTCAGGAGTTCAAGACCAGCCCAAGCAAGAGCAAGCCCCTGTCTATACCTTCCCCCCAAATATATGTGTATATATAAAATAAAAATTAAAAAAAATAAAGTTACATAAAATTTTAAGAGGCAACTGAATCCCAACTACTGTAACTTAAGTTCAGTAAGTTTCTTCTGCATTTCTCTCAAAAGCTATTTTGTGTGTATATATATCTTACTTGTAATTGAAAAAGAATCTCAATAGGGTAGAACAGTGCTTTTCCTATTTGTCTATTCCTTTTTTTTTTTTTTTTTTTTTTTGGCTAGGGTTGAGTTTGAACCCACCACCTCCGGCATATGGGGCCTGGTGCCCTACCTACCCTTTTGAGCCACAGGCACTGCCCTGTTTATTCTCTTCTAATGAGCCCTATAAATACTTCATGTATGTGTACACTGTGATTAAGAGGGTTAATTTAGGAGTGTGCTTTTTCACTTTAAATTGTGCAGTATTCATTTTTCTTTGCTATAGTTGTAATTATTTCATGAGGCTGGGCACGGTGGCTCACGCCTGTAATCCTAGCATTCTGGGAGGGGAAGGTGAGTGGATTGCTTTACCTGAGGAATTTGAGACCAGCCTGAGAAAGAGTGAGATGCTGTCTCTACTAAAAATAGAAAAACTAGCTGGGCATTATGGTGGGCGCCTGTAGTCCCATCTACTCAGGAGGCTGAGGCAAGAGAATTGCTTGAGCCCAAGAAATTGAGGTTGCTGTGAGGTACGATACCACAGCACTCTATCCGGGGCAATAAGAATGAAGCTCTTTCTCCGGAAAAATTCTGTATATATTTTTATGAATACATAGCACATATGTGTTTTGGAACTACAGGGTGGTCATAAAGTTCATGTGCAGTTTACTATGTTAAACTATTTTAAATTGCACCTGAACTTTATGTCCACCCTGTATTTTGCAGTTTAAGGATAGGGTAGAATGAGCTAATACACAGTAAAATAATTGAGATGTGGAAGTATTTGAGAGAAAGATGAAATCAAAATATGGTTATTCTATACCTTTCTAATACTTTGTCTTTCGTTTTTCAGGGATTCAGAATATTATGACTATGGACACGGGGAGGTTCAAGATTCTTATGAAGCTTATGGTATGTCTTTATTTCTGTGGTGGGGCAGACAGTGCTAGATAGTGCCTGAAAGAATGCTGATGACTGCATTGTTGGGAGTCAGACAGAAACATACCTAAGGACAAACTTTTAGGAGGCAAAGTATTAGTAGATATATCAATAGGATCTCTGCTCTTATTTAAATTTTGTGGTGTGTAGTAGAAAGAGGAACCACTAAAGTGAGTTAGGGTACTATTACTTTTGGAAGGCCAGTAGTACATGTCTCAAACATGACTCGGGTCCAGTGTGGCCTAGGTGATCCAGCAGGCTTTCAAGCTAATGTTGATTTTTTTCTACTTTAGGCAGGAAGACAGCTAGAACCTGGGCTAGGTTTCTGTGCTTTTTGTGCTGGTACTTAATCACATCTAACTCTATTCTTCTGTCCT